TTACCTTCAGAAACTCTGCTCAGAAGTTTTTTCTAATGCTGAGTCAGCATCTGACCTCCTAGGGAGGAAATGTCATAGTGAAATGACCACAGGAATCACGAGGAACTGGTTTATATCGGAGTGCTTAGGTGGAAGACTTTGGTCAAGTGACTTGCCTCAGTTTCCTTATCTGTGAAATGGAGTTAATGATGGCCATTTCAAGAGTTCATGGCAAGAATTAAGGAACATGGGCCGGCGCCGCGGCTCAATAGGCTAATCCTCTGCCTAGCGGCGCCGGCACACCGGGTTCTAGTCCCGGTCGGGGCGCCGGATTCTGTCCCGGTTGCCCCTCTTCCAGGCCAGCCCTCTGCTGTGGCCAGGGAGTGCAGTGGAGGATGGCCCAGGTGCTTGGGCCCTGCACCCCATGGGAGACCAGGAAAAGCACCTGGCTCCTGGCTCCTGCCATTGGATCAGCGCGGTGCGCCGGCCACAGCGCGCCGGCCGCGGCGGCCATTGAAGGGTGAACCAACGGCAAAGGAAGACCTTTCTCTCTGTCTCTCTCTCTCACTGTCCACTCTGCCTGTCAAAAATAAAAAAAAAAAAAAGAATTAAGGAACATGACACGTGTAAAGTGCCAGAGATGGGACCCTGCTCCTCAGCATGGTTATATCTGGCCGTCCACCCCCCTTTTTTTAAGATTCATTTATTTATTTGAAAGGCAGAGTTACAGAGAGGCAGAGGCAGAGAGAGGTCTTTCATCCGCTGGCTCACTCCCTAGATGGTCACAATGGCCGGAGCTGTGCCGATCCGAAGCCAGGATCCAGGAGCTTTTTCCAGGTCTTCCACTTGAGTGCAACGGCCCAAGGACTCGGACCATCTTCCACTGCTTTCCCAGGCCATAGCAGAGAGCTGGATCAGAAGTGGAGCAGCTGGTACTTGAACAGTGCCCATATGGGATGCCGGGACTGCAGGCAGTGGCTTCACCCACTACCCCATAGCACCGGCCCTTAGTTCCCCCTTTTTGTGTTCAGCAAAATGTCCATCTGAATCACACAGAAGCTGATTTTTTTCCAACTCAATTGTCATGTCTTGCCTAGATCCCTTTGGCTTATCAGGTGACATTATTGGGTGAGTTTTTTTTTTTTTTTTTCAACAAACAAGTGTCATTGAGTTGTTTCTTTGAGAGTGATGCCTACAAGAAAACACAATAATCAGAGGTAGCTTGTCAATATAAAGGTAGCAGGACCATCATCCACTGATAATGCATCTTCAGATCAAAATAGTTTATTTGATTCTTTGCTTTTAGGGAGAACCACATCATATATCTGGTCAAAATAATGTTAAAATATTCTCCCTGCCATCAGACATTTCACTTTTGGATGTTTGATTTAGTTCTGGTGTATTTTGTATGTTATGGAATATTTCATTATATATGGAGAGTAGTCGTCCTTAGGGTGAGTCGTGCTTTGGGGGAGCCTGATTCTTCACAAAATACTTATATTCTTTTTTTCTTTCTTTTAATAGTTACAGCCAACATATATTTTTAAAATATGTGCTTTCAGCTTTCAATCATGTTCATCTTTTGTTGCCTAAGCAGGGGAGATTTGGAAGTAGAAAGTCTAGTGACAACAAAGAGACTGCATGCTTGAAAACATAATAAAGTAGCTGAATTTGACCTGAAATATCTTAAAATCTTTTCAGTTACATTCTCATGTCTCTATAGGCAGAGCTCAGAGTGTTGGATTATTCATACAATTTTAGTTTATTCATATATGATTATTCATAGAATTCTCAGTCTACTATGAAGCAAAAGTATTGGGGAGTTTAGATACAACTAATTTGTGTATGTTGATTTTATCTAAATATAATTATTGGCATGAATTTGTGTGTAGAGAATGATATCTGAAAAGCACGATTATATTTTTGCTTAAATCACTGCAATTTTGGGCATTGTGTTTTTGACATTAAATGATCTAGATTATTTTGTTTGATTAAACATTTTCCTTTTACATTGTTAAAGTCTTTGAAATAGTTTTACTAATTTTTTCAATGGGACTACCAAAAGAGCTCTAAAAATGTTTGTGCCTTATAGTTCTGAACTTAACCTATGAATTGGCAATAAGAGACTTATAAAACTCATATATGGGGTCTGCATAGTGTTAATGTTTGAGATTTATTTCCCCCTGAAGATTCATAAACAGTATTGACAAATATATTACACACTGCAATTTTGATATGGTCATAATGTAGGATGGGAGGTTTGAAAGGTTTAAATAAACATGTAAATTTAATTTGTTAGACATTCTGCAGCAAGAGTCCTGTTAGTAACTAACATCAATTTATTTTATTGTGCATTTCCCAAAGAATGATAATATATGTCTCGTACAAAGAACAAGTAAGAAAGCTGTTGCAAAATAAACCCTGAGTTCTTGTCTTCTCTACTGTTAGTTGGTAGACTTGTCCATTTAAGCAGTCACACCTCATTTTGACTGTGATATTATACTTTATGTCCCTAAAGCATGCAATCCCCAAATAACTTTTGTCCAGCTATTTAATTTGGGATTCTTGCTGAGTTTGCAAAGTGATTTGATTGTTGTTGACATTGTCTTTTATTGTCAAGGATCATCTATTTGATGTAGTCTTTGCTTTTGGTACGTGCTTCTTCCTTCGTTTTAAAAATAACAGACACCCATTTTCGTAATTTATTTTATTTAAGAAATACTTAGCATCAGCTGTGGCCAGATTGTAAGGATAGATAAGACTAATTCATTTTTTCTATAGAGCTTACCTCTTAGCCAGTAAGATAATCACAGATACAGATAACTGTGACCTGAAGTAATAATTGCTGCAATAGAACTGTGTACAGAGTGCAGTGGAAGCACAGGTGAGGGGAAAATAAGTTTCTTGATGCGTTATGTAACCTTGTTCCCAATCAGGGAGCAGGCCACAGAAATAAGTTGTTGAAGGTATGTGTGGGAAGAGAAACATGAGAACACAGTTGAGTCTTTTAGAAAAGGTTTCGATAAAAATATCCTTAAAACATTATGTTTTATCAGATAATGAAGATATAGTTTTTTGATTTGCAATTAATTATGCATAATCAATTTTTGTCAAAGCTAATGATCTCTGATTTTAAATTCAGAGATACCTTTTTATAGGAGATCAAATCACAATGTATTCATGAGTACAAGAAATCATGACTACCATCTTTCAGACATACTGGGTGTGATTTGAAACAATTGATTCGTTTATGTAAAATATTATTGAGCATCTACCATGTGCTATATCTGATACTAAAGGGTTAGCAAAAAAAAAAAAAAATACTGTCCTGAAACTTTTAGGCTAATCATACAATCCCTTGAGCCTAAAAGGTCACTGTGATTTGTTTCTGTTGAAAAATTAACTCAGAAATATGTACCTGGTCATGTAGCAATAAGCCACATTTTGCCTATAGATATCAGCAGTGTGCAAATCAGTAATAAATCTGCTTTTTAATCCAAAATTGTTAACTAGAGGTTACTATTCCATATAGATTTTTGTACCTTTGGAATTTAGATATGAACAAATGAGTGTGTCTATATTGATAATTACAGTAAAAGTGTCCATCTCACTATATGGTTCCTAAAGCAAAGCAAAGGATTCTAAATGAAAATTGTAAACACTAGACGGATGTCCCCATGCTATTCCATGACTAAGACTGGGTATGAAATTGTCTGATATTGCCTTGATGCATGCTTATTTATGCAGCTATTACTTAGCTTGCATTCATTTCGAGTTGAACGCTGTCAAACAAGCAATACCTCATTTTAGGTGTTCCCCAATGAACAGTGTAGGGTTGTTTTGTGGAATATGCCTCTGATACTGTTTTCCTTCCTGCGATGCTGCTTTTATGAGAGTTTGTGCCAGCAGAGAACTAGCTTAAATAGCTGGAGAACTGTCTTTCAAACATTTTTTTTAGCAACCACAGATCCAGTCTAGGTGGAAATAGAGCAGAGTGGAAGGGGACAGGAATCTTCCCACTGGCCTGGCCAGGCCTTGGGGTGGAGAGCAGCTCCCACATGCTGTCCTCACTGGTGGGGAGGGGCGGGGAGGGGCAGGAAGTGCTCAGGCTTCTGTGGCCAGCCCTGGAAGCACGCAAGAATTGGAAGCCAAAGTTTCCTCGCAGAAAGTAAGTTACAGGGGAGGACAAGAAACCATAGAACCACAGAGCCATGGAGCTGACAAGCCTGAGCAGACTCCTGTAGCCATCTCTGAATGTTTCAGATGTTTACAATGGGTGAACATTCTGGAGAGAACCAAAACAGTTGTGTTCCATTTTGGTTCTATGATTTTCATTTGTTTGGTCTTTAGTAAAAAAAAAAAAAAAAATAACACAAACACAAAATTTACTGGGCTTAAGATAGGCTTGATAATTAGGAATTTCAAATGCATGTTATACATGGATCTATTTGAAAAGTTTTTTTTTTTTTTTTCCTTCTTGTGAGGGGGAAGGAAATATCTTTCGTGACACCTGTCAATTTTAGTAAACCCAAAAGACTGGTTAAAAAAAATTGAAACCCATCTTACCATGGAATTGCTTGTGAATTAGAGGTAAAACAAGATTACAGCTCAGCTGGCAAACTGTGGTATATTGGTACATTTCTAGAGTGCTGCTTTTTGTTTTCTCTTTTGTGTTTTTTCAAAAAAATAGCATATTGCATTTACATCTATGTGGATCAGATATTCTAGGAAAAATATCCTCCATCAATTAAGAGTTCAACAATTGTGTATGTGCCCTACTTCAGGTTTTTCTGTCTCACAATTTAGTCTTTATCTTTCATAGAAGAACTAGACCATGTAATGTATGTAGGGATAATATGATAGAATTTAGCACATCTATCTCATTAGATTGTAATTTTGAAAAAAAAAAGTGATAGCACTAATTTGATGCATCAGAAGTTACATTTCTAATATTTCTGTAGATTTTAACATTGTGTTTTTTTTTTTCTCTTCCCTCCCTGCTGCCTCTCTCCTCTCAACAGTCCTGGTACCTGGGCTAGCTTGGTTCCTTTCCAAGTGTCAAATAGGACACCCATCCTACCGGCAAATGTCCAAAATTACGGTTTGAACATAATTGGAGAACCTTTCCTTCAAGCAGAAACGAGCAACTGAGGGAAAATGAAATTACAACAATAGTTTCAGAAATCAAACAAAACAAAACAAAATAAATAAAAGGAAAAGAGGAAGACTGGACAACAAAACAAAACAAAGGGAGAAAGGAAAGAAACTGAAGAAAGAAGATAATAGACCAGCAATTGCAGCACTTACAATCACTAATTCCCTTAAGGTTGAAACTGTAACGACATAAAAAGGGTCGATGCTATTTCACTGATGGTAAATCGCAGATCGCAGCCCCTGCAACGTAGCCTTTGTTACATGAAGTCCGCTGGGAAATAGATGTTCTGTCTCTATGACAATATATTTTAACTGACTTTCTAGATGCCTTAATATTTGCATGATAAGCTAGTTTTATTGGTTTAGTATTCTTGTTGTTTACGCATGGAATCACTGTTCCTGGTTATCTCACCAACAAAGGCTAGGTGGCGGCATCAGAGGTGCTGGGGGACAGAGCCATGAGCCAGCCATTTTATAAGCACTCTGATTTCTAAAAGTTAAAAAAAATATATAAAATCTCTGTAGCCTTTAGTTATCAGTACAGATTTATTAAATTTTGGCCCTTAACCCAGCCCTTTCCAGTGTGTAACCCAGTTTGAAATCTTAAAAAAAAAAAAATGAAAAAAATGAAAAAAAGAAAAAAGAAAAAAACAGTTTGAACACAAAGGCTCTATGGAAGAAATGCCTCTATGTAGGTGAAGTGTTATCTCTGCATGCAACAGTAAAAATTAATATAATATTTTCCCCACAAAAGAAACACTTAACAGAGGCAAGTGCAATTTATAAATTTATATCTAAAGGGGAATCATGATTATAAGTCCTTCAGCCCTTGGACTCTAAATTGAGGGGATTAAAAAGAATTTAAAATAATTTTGAGCGAATTTATTTTCCCCTCAGTTTTTGAGGGCATTAAAAAGGCATTAAATCAAGACAAATCATGTGCTTGAGAAAAAAAATTAATGAAAACACAGCACTTATGTTGGTTTAGCTGCAGCCTCTTTGGAGGTAGAATTTATTTATTTAAAATTACTGGTTGCATCAAGAACCCATAGGGTGTACAAAAGGTTCTATAAAATCTACATTCTAGAGACAAAGAGGCAGGCAAATCCATGTCACAAGAGTAAAGCTTACAGTTTACAAACTGGGAACGCCAGGGTGTAGGATACAAAAACGCACTCTTGAGAGAACAAATGTAATCAGGGTGCTGCAAACTTGCATGGTGCTTTCAGACCTTAGCCTTGTTCAACAAATTATTGTATTGACAGATCCGTAGTGTGCATGGGCAGACACATTTTGCCTCTATGTCTCTTAAAATTTTAATTAAAAATACTCTTTCCAGTAATCCTAATTTGCACGAAGATATAATGTCCACATTACGTGCCTTGCCTTGAAATCTAAAAAACAAAAAACAAAAAAACAAAAAAAAAAACAAAAAAGTGACATCACTACACTTGTTTTGCTGCATTTATTATCATTTTAAATCTTTACCATTTTTATGACAAAATATTTTGTACTCCAGACGAAGAAAAATGTGTGACATCATGGATTTTTTAGACAGTTATACCTTTATCTCACATTTATAAAGCATATCATGGCTGTGTATAGTTGCCGCTTAAAAATTGTAATCGACCAGCAATATTTTCAGTATTTTGGTGTTTTTTCTATTAACCTTTCATGTTTTTCATCTTCCAATTAATATTTGGGGGGAGGGGTTTCAAATTTATACGAATTATGCAATACCAAGTTTTGCCTATGTAGGTAGTGCTTTTAGCTGTATTGGTTATTATAGGTAAGTACACAGATTTAAAAAAAAAAATAATGTATGCTTTTTTTTTGTTTGTTTGTTTTAATTGACCAAAGTGGGTACTGCTATTTTTGCAGTGTGATGAGGTCCTTTTGTGTACTGAGAGATGGACAGGGGATTTTTTTTAATATACATATATATATATTCTGGGGTGGGTGGGAGGGTTTCTAACACTTTACAGTGTAGCTGTGAAGCAGTGCACCCTGAGATGGACCTGGGCTGCAAAGCCACTGTTCTGCCTACTGTGACAAACTTCAACTTAACACAGGTTCCCCTCTCGAACTTCCCACCTGGGGTGCAAGCTGAACTCATTTCTGGTTTTCATGACAACAGAAGAGTAAGAACAAGCAAACAGAACAAATTCTTCTAGAGGCAGACTTGGCTTAAAAAAAGAAAAAAAAAAAAAAAAGAAACTGTCTATCTTTTGGTTTTTGGTGGTGGTGGTAGTTTTTCCCAGAAAGTTCCAGATCCACAGTGGAGGGTGAGCCTGTCTCATATTTGGCAAAGATATTTGTTGAAATGTCCATCTCGTGGATGTTGGATGTTTCTCGCCTTGGGGGCTTAACACATGAATATACTTCCTCCCACAAACCCATTAGACCCGCTGGAGGGAGTGCGTCCATGTTCCTCGCCTGCCACTTCTCATCCCCATTTCTTCCTTTCATTAATGCTCAGATGTGATTTACCTGCGACTTTCTACTTCCAGTCGATGGCAGTGCACTTGGATTTTTCTTTTCTTTCCTTTTTCTCTTCTCTTCTTCTTCTTTTTTTTAATCCAGAAGATTGAACCGAGGGTAGTTATTATTGAATACATTTTGACTGATAGATTAAAATCAAAGTTCAGTTTTTAAGGAACAACCACAGCAAAAAAGAAATCTTGTTATGTTCCCATTCTACCTGCCCTTTTAAACTAAGAACTACAAGCAGAGGGAAATCAGAATGTTGAGACATGGATGTTCCTATGGACGAATGAAGCCCATTAGATAGTGATGGGTTTTCTAAGGGGTGCTACCTCAAAGGAGACTTGAGTTCATTTCCCCTGAGGGCTGGCCAGTGAATGGTGGCAGGTTTGCCATTGCCCTGTCTTCATCTCCTGGTCCCCTGAGTGAATTCACTCCTAAAAGAGGAGTCAGCACCACCTCAGGTTGCCCAGAGGAGCACCCCTGGCCTTCTTCCCCCAGGCCACGACCTAATAAATAAACTGTCAGTTCTCCCTGCACCTCATTTAATAATGGACACTCTAGAACAATGCTTATGGGCCAGAGAATGGTGTTTGATTAGCCCATTCAGGTTGATAACCTAAATGCTGAATAGCACAGCAGGATCCCATCAGAGCAAGTTCAAAAGCAAGTCCAGCCATTTCTGTGATAACTGTGATACTTGCCCTGGCATAACACTGAGAATCAAATCCAAGCTCTTCACATACCTTTGACCTATTAGGTGAACAAATCAACCTCACAGGACACACAGTATTTCTTAAGGCAGACGCCACTTTTTTTTTTTTTTTTTTTTTTTTTTTTTTTTTTTTTTTTTGCCAGTGAATGAGCAGTTCTTGCTATGTAAGTGACACACTGTGGGTATTCCTGCCTGCCTCTTGAATATAAAAGCCTAGTTCAAGTGTTGCTTTTTTTTTTTGTTCCTTGAAATCATTTTTTTTTCCTTCTTTCCTTCGGAAATGAAACTATTTAAAATACTACTCTCTCTCTCTCAAAATCTCAAATCCATTCTTTGGCTGCCTCTGCCTCTTTTACCAGGAAGTATATTCTGACGAAGGGCCCCACTTTTGCAGGTCTTGCACGCCCCTCCCTTACCCAGAACTGCAGAGCTTCAGGACGGCGAAGGTCACCCAAGGGCATCAGGAGGGGTGGTGGCTCCAGCCGCCAGTTCCGGGGCACTGTTCAGCCTTTGTTGCTTTGCAGCCCACCACTCTCAGTGCCTCTGAAGCGTGTTTCCCCTGGAGTGACGTGAGCGTTTGAGGCTTGTCTAAGGAAGAAGAAAGGAAAGGCAGTGAAGGAGACTGTACATAAAGACATGGCAGAAATCTTAATGATAGCAATAGAGTTATCGGGTAATGTTCGGGTGGGCAGCTCCATTAAAAAATATGTGAATGAATCTGTGAAGCTGCGAGTAGCAAGAAGAGCAGAAGCTCTTCTTTATGAACCGCCTACCTTGTAAGACAGTCATTTGTACACTGTATAGTTTTGTTAAGAATTTTTTTTTAAATTAAAATTCCCATGTTTGTAAAGCTAACTTTTTAACAATTATAATGGAACTATATGTTGTTTCCATTTTTAAAGTAAACAAGAATATTCCTTGTTTAGGGACTGGACTTGAGTTAAAACTCTCCAGGCTCTTAAGTTATGTATTAAAACAAAAAAAAAAAAATCTGTCCATGTTAGGAGTTATTTCACAGATTCCTGTGCTTGAAAAGCATAGGATACTAATCCTTTAAAAAAGTGTAAATGGAGAAAAGTTATATTTTATGAAGGTTATTTTGTTGTATTTAGTATTGGGAAAGTTGGTTTTCAGAGCATTTCAGAATGTCGGAAGCACCACTGTCTTTTTATTAGTATGTAACGGCCTTTAGCAAAAGTTTTTGTGATTGTTGCGTGATGGTATTTAAGGTTAAGTTTCACAGAGCATTCAGGATAGGCAGAAAATTAAAACAGTGCTATGTCTCACATAACGTGTCCTCAGGGAGCAGAATCTTGGACTTGTGACTTGTAGCTTCATAAGGACTCAACGGAAGAGATTGCACAGGGACATCTTCAGCGGTGTGAGAGCAGGACATGGTCTTGACCTAGACTCGAAGTTCTATGTACTGTGTGAAACGATGAAGGCTGCAGAAAGTTATCCCATGTTCAGTGTACAGTATTCATTTTTAATGAAACAACTCTACAATATTGCTGGCAGATAGGCCCCAAGCATGACATTCAATATAGTTTACATGTTCCTGTCAAGGTCTTTTGTTAACATTAACCAGCTGCATGCTTCCTGGACTTTTAAGAAATTGGGTTTCTATGGAAAAAAATTTTTTTAAACGTGCAGGCTATTCAAGTTCAA